GCTCTTCCCTTTCACATCTTTCCAACTACAGGCTGGAAAGACCACAACCCCCTTGCTACAAGGTGCCAGTTTACTCCTATTTGAGAAAACTCATTTCATCCTAAATGCCCCAAATTCGCAGGTGTTCTCTGCAAGCTGATTCCTAAAGGAGCGGAAACTTCTCACAGTTTGAAGCTCTTAAGGAAACACCCATCCAGGGAAACAATCCTCCCTGCAGATCTGAAGGCTGGGCACAGAGTACCCTGCCCAGCCCTAGGCTTATAAACCCACATTTATTCTGTGACAGCGCCCTCAAATATCCAGGCAAGCTGGGGTTCCACAGCGTCAGGCACTGGTCGAACTTCCCGGGCCAGACCACGCCAAAGCAGCTTACATCGATGAAAACAGAACTGTGCGTGTGCGGTCCCTGGCTGCTGAACACACCGAGGAGGCTAAAGAGGCGAGCGCTCCGCTAGAACAGCATGACCTGCGTGGCTCTGGAGTTAACTTTTTCCAGGGAGACACTAAACGCCAGAGTCAATTTAGGGGAATGATGTTTTTATTACCAAGCCACAGCCAAGTTAATTGCTTCATGAATTGCCTTTCCAGGGGCAGTTTTCCCATTGATACCAGTCACCTGACACCATCCCAGCACTTCTCTCTCTCCAGCTTTACAGGCTGAGCTCCGAGAGCCATCCTGCTCTCAGGAAGCTAACAGCGGAAGTCAAGCAACATCAACAAATGGGATGAGGTCTTGGAGCGCGATTTTCAGTTTGGGTCTAACTCAGTTCATGTCACTATTATGAAAGCTTTACCGCTGACTTGAATAGGAGCAGAATTAGATCCACAGCGAGCACTGCCTTTGCTTCTACAAGCAGCTTTTGCCAAGTGGCAGAAATAACCCGAGAGGCACGGCTCCATCCAGTTCTGCAATCCTGCATCCAAGGACCCTGACAGTGAGCGGCAGATTCCCCAGGCGACTGCCTCGGGCAGCGCTGTTCGCAGGTCGGAGCTCCCCTCCCACCTCCCCTGCAGCACCACCTCTTGCGGATGTAAAGTACTTTTCGGAGGGGTACCTCCATCCACCGACCCACGCCGACCCTCTGAACCCAGGCACTATCACAGCGCAAGGAGATCTGTTCGCAGGGCTCTGAAACCAGACTAGTTAGGCCACAGGCAAGTTTTCCCCACAGCCAGGGTCTTACCAGTTAGCCCTATCTTCTTCCGGCAAGTGAAGCAGCGATTCTTCTTCTGTTTCGGTTTTTCTGAAGCTGTCTTGCCCTCAGCTGTGTTCTGGGATATTTCAAGCAGGGTACCTGAAAGAGAGGCAAGAGTTTTGCTACCCTTCTTGATAAACCAAGCAACACATTCGTTTTATTACAGGAGCTGCTTGAGGCCCTACCGGTTCTGGGTCTGTGCCAGACACCTCTGTGTGCACGTTGGCCTGGTCGACATACCCCAAACTGTGAGATTTGCCTCGTTCCACAGAGATCTACGCCTCGCACAGCCCCATGTTTTCTCTCTGTTTCGAATTCCTTAAGTTCAAGGCTCAGAAACACCAAGGAGATATTATGGTTTACCTAAGGCGTACGTGATGCCGTTTAGCTCCCTGCTGAGAAAAGGTAATACTAAGTAGAATTACCTGGTGCTTGCCATAGGTTAAGCACGCGTCTGGATAGTCACTACAGCTTAGCTGATGTACAGTAACTCAACTGCACAGCTCAGCCTAGGGTTAATCTTCGCAGGGGAAAAAAAGAAGTTAACCCCTTGTAAGTACTACTAATTATTTTTGCTGACTCTTATGTAAGTGTTCCTCATATGTAGGTCTCAGAATGCTTTACACAGATAGTCATCGCTGTCTCTAATCTACCAAAAGGAAAACTGAGCTCTGAAAGCCAGATTGTTAAAGGTCACTGACGCTTAGCAGGATTTCCTACAGTACCTAAGCAGGTTAGAGAAGTCAACAGGAGGGAGGAGCTCCAACTGCTAGCAGATACACACACCTGCAGTGCACACCGCTCTGAAAATCAGGCTAAGGAGACAAACAGTCAGAGGCAGAGATAGCTTTGTGGATCTGACCCTAAACAACCTTCTAAAAATCCCACAATCAGAAAAAAGGGGCAGGCTCTTCCAAGCCTCTTTCACCAAATAGTCTCTCACC